TAGCCTGCCAGTTTGTCCAAAGTAGGAATGAGATGATAAGATGTCCGGGAGCTGGGTTTTATAGTCTCTGGGTCTTGGCCGTTGATGGGATTACACGGCGCCAGGGGGCTAGTTGGTGGGTGTGAGCCCCGCCTACTGGAATTTGGAGGATCTGGGTGGAGGATGCTCAGCCCTGATCTGAGTAGGCTTGGAGAACTCAGCCCCAGGACCCGCGTGCCTTTGTTCCTCTGCCGGTACCTTCATGTGTGCGGAGAGTGGTCTCAGCATGGTGGTGGCTGGTTCTGGAGGTCTTCGGCTAATCGTTCTAATAACATCGTTCTAATAACACCAAACATTAGCCAAGCGACACAAATGCTGGCCGTCATCGACCGTGAGTGTGGAAAGGTCAGACTACAGCTGAATCTCACGAAGACAATGTTTATGAGAAACGGTCTTGTTCCTGATGTTCCATTCACTCTCAATGGAACGAACATCTCCAAATGCAACAGTTTTGTGTACCTAGGTCGAGAAGTCAACATGACGAATGACCTGGCACCTCAGTTTCACAGGAGGAAGAGAGCAGCTTGGAACTCCTTCAAAAGCATCAAAGAAATAGCTAAGAGGACGAAGAACCTCCAGCTTCGGTCACATCTCTTCAATTCCACTGTTCTTTCTGCATTAACACAGACCTCAGAGACCTGGGCCCTATGAAAACAGGATGAGAATGCTATTTGGGTCTCCCAAAGAGGAACTGAAAGAGCTATGCTTGGAGTATCATGCTTAACTCAAATGAGAGAAAGAATTCAGAGTTCTGACCTCCGTCGATGGTCAAGAATCAGGGATGCTGTCTCATTTGCCAAGGCGTTGAAAATCAGATGGGCTGGGCATATAGTGAGATTTGGAGACGACCATTGGACTAGAGCTGTTATGACTCGATTCCACAGGATGTCAAAAGATCGTGTGGCTGGCCACCTATGAGATGGTCAGACTTCTTCATCAAGATCCTGAATAATCATTTTGAGGCTCTTCGTATTCCTGGGCCGAGCAGATGCCATTGGGCTACACTAGCATGCAACAGGGACAAATGGAGACGTTACTGGCACCCGTTTGAGCAAATCGATGATGCCAAGTGATCAAGTGATCTAAGTATCATTGGTGTGTTTATTCCCATTCCCATTCACATAAGCATTGGACTTAAAGACCCAGAGGAATGATTTATGAGATAGGGAACTAGAGGGGTTGGTGGGTAGATGTGGGAAGAAAGCCATAGCTCTGGACCCAATTATTTCCCATGCCAACAATTTGCTACACAGAGAAGTTTCCATGTGTTAAGATTTTATCTTCCCCACCAAAGACTGGGTTTTCTACATCCCACACCTACATTTTAGAGGAAGGAGTATAGACTTGAAAAAATAAGTTTGTCTCTCAGTTATAATAAATGGTTGATCAAGAATACAACAGGATATCCTTGGACACCCATCCCTTGTCACTACCCCTTTCCTTTTGGTAGCTTAGCAAAAAAAAAAGAGGCACATTGGACCTGAATTTGCTCTCAGGATAACAGTTTGACAAAGGGAAAATGGTGGCTGCTCAGTTCTAACAAAGAGGCTTTCTCATGTAGGAGGCTGTCCTTGGACCCGAGTTGCCTTGCAAGCTCCTTTCTTTATACATGAGTGGCAGGACATTGTGAAGTTCTACCCTTGTGGACCATCCCCCAGTTCATGCAGAGCAGCTCCATGGCCCTTTTATATTTTTAGAGGAGCTCTGCATATCTATTTCCTCTCGGCTTCTTAGACCTCTGTTCTCCAAACCAATTTTAAATACACATTGTGCCATGTATATGTCATAACTTATTGAAACAAGTGATGGAATAAAAATTTTCCACCTGAAGATATTTTTATTGAAACATATTTCTTATTCACGATGTCACACATCATACCATAGTTTTGCTCACTATGTAAAAGATGCTGGTGCAAAGTTAGGTATTGAGAGTCTCAAATTTGTGGGGAGTAAGTGTTTGAAAAACTCCTATCACAGAATTTTTTGTAATTTTAGGACTTAAGGGAATTTATATGCATATGAGTTTCTCATATGAGATTTAAGGGAAAAATGGAGATTATACACAGCCAGAAATCCATTTAAAGTTCTCTGATGATCCAAGGATTCACTATTGTAGTCACACTTTACTTGGCTTTCAGTATTCCATTTCACCTGTGATATCAGGATGAATTTCCAGTGGCTTTACATGATTTAATAAAAAGTCAGTAAGCTCCTGTAGGCTTCATCAGTGAACTGTTCCTTTTCCTCTGCGCAGAGGAACTTACAGTGTTCTTGCAAGCACCCCTAACTTTTCTTCCCCGCCCCTACCAGGGCTCCGGCAGCCTAAGACCTCCAGAACAAGCCACCACCATGCTGAAGGTACCAGTAGAGGAACAAAGGCATGCGGATCCCAGGACTGAGATCTCCAAGCCTGCTTGGATCAGGGCTGAGCATCCTCCACCCAGATCCTCCATATTCCAGTAGGCAGGCATCAAACCCACCAACTGCCCCCCCCCCCCATCCCATGGCGCTGTGTAATCCCATCAACGGCCAAGACCCAGAGACTATAAAACCCAGCTCCCGGACATCTTATTATTTCATTCTTACTTTGGACAAACTGGCAGGCTACCGAATGTAACCTGCCCACACAGTAGAGTCTGGCAAACTCCCCGTGGTGTACCCAATATGCCAAATACCAGTAACAATGATGGGTCTCATTCTCCTAACCCTGAAAGAGCCTTGAATATGGCACTTTTTAAAAAATCTCAGACGAGATCAGGTGCGTTCAGGGTGGTATGGGCTGGAGCGATAGCACAGCGGTAGGGCATTTGCCTTGCACACAGCAGGCCCAGCAGAGCTGGGCTTGATTCCTCCGCCCCTCTCGGAGAGCCCAGCAAGCTACTGAGAGTATCTCACCCGCATATATTCAATATGCCAAACACAGTAACAAGTCTCAAAATGGAGATGTTACTGGGCCCACTCGAGCAAATCGATGAACAATGGGAGGACGGTGTTTGTTTTTTGTTTTAAAAAATCTCAGGGCTAGGACGAAGGAGACGTTACTGGGGCCTGCTCGAGGTAATCAACGAACAACAGGATGGTCGTCGGTCATGATTAAGACGTAAACATTTTTTTAAATATTTACTGGTATCAAGGGAAAGAGAAAATCAATAAATATGTCCCTGGGAGACAGAGCGCCTCCTTGAATTAATCCCTCTAAGAGAATTGTCTCAGTTAAAATGCTTTATCTCTGTAAATGATCAATCACACCTACAGGCAGTCTTATACCTTGAGCCTCCTCAGATGTTCTATAAGCATGCTAACAGTTCTGCATTAAATGGGCCATTTTGACCATCAGTCTGTGGTCTCCTGTCTCTTTGTTCCTTTCCTGGGGAGGCTGAGGAGGTGACTCTCAGCCACTGAACACATGTGTTGCACATCCATCAGTGAACTCACACTCCTGACCATATGGCATGATAGAGAATATCCAGAAGATTAGCAATGGACCTCAGAGATGCCTTCAATCCTATTTGTCCCTTTAAGCTAAAGGGATTGAACATGTAATGCACAATACATGGACATTTATCAATCACCGATTTTGAGGGATTTTACTGAAGGTTTTTAAAAACAAAATAGAAGGTCAGATTCTGAATGTTGAAAGTTCAAAGCTTGGTCTGATTAGTTTTATTCTGAGCATATCATTTTGGATATTTTCCATAGCAAGTTATAAAGCAAGTTATAAAGCAAGTGCTCACAGGTGAAATTTCATTTCCTATTCTTCCTTTAGGCAGAACATTTTGAACCCCATCCATTTCTTCCAGAATACTTTTTTTTTTTGGTCTCTGCCAGGCAAGTTCTGCCTAGCTCCAGATATATCGTCTCTCTGTTTCAGAGAAATTGAGGGGAGGGGTGTCAGATTGAGGAATGTGGTGCCAGATGATCAAGACTTCAAGTGGATTGTCCCAAAAACATTTAAAGGGTCATATGTGAATCTGCTAGGTCATCCTACAGACCATATTTGCATAAAGGTATACGTGATCTTATTATAAATCTTTATAAAAACATATGCTAGTTGATCCATCTCTCCACAATCACTCCACATCCTCATTTACGTATGTAATCTGATTGGTCTTTCTGATCTGATGATCTCAGAGCCCATAACCAATCAAATAGCAGAAGCAAATAGGTGGGAGGGCTTTCTACTGCCTGAGTTTATCTGCTTCCCAGATAAACTCAGGTCTCTCTAAAGAAAGTGAGGAAGAAAAGTAGAGGACCAGAGCTGATCAGATGGGATGGAGAAGAAGAGAGAAGCAGCAAGCAGGAAAATAAGGAGGAGATGAGAAGTAACACAATTTGGGGGTGCATCTATGAAGCAGAAGTTCCTGTTTCTTCACCTGCTGTGGCCCATAGATAGAAATCTTTGAATTACTATAGAACTACTCTGCCAGGTTCAGTTGAGTTTACATTGCTAATACTTTTAATTTTAAAATCTTAAAATTTAATTTTTTTATTTATTTGCTCTTTGGGTCACCCCTGGCAATATTGACTGGGGCATCCCTGGGAAGGTCAGACTTCCAACTCCTTCCAACCCTGAGAGATTTGAGCCCTCTTTTCATCCAATACATGTGCAAGGAAGGATGCAGCAGACTCCAGCTGTGAGTTTTCAGACTGCTTTATGGTTTTTCAACCCCCTCAGAATCTGTGACATGCTCTGACCTATATGTTCGTTCTTCATTAGAGAAACAATCATGGCCTCCTTTCATCTCCTGTGAGAAAGGACAAGTCATTCATGGCTCCACTGGTGGGGACTCTGGAAAATCTGGGATTTGGGGATGGTGAGGTTGGGGAGAGGAGTCTTTGAGTCTACTTTCCCATCTTCTTTTAGGTCCACTTTCATTGTGGCTCAAGCTTCTGAGCAGACCTTCAGAGGTCACCGCTTCCCAGGGCCTTTTCCTCCATGGAGCCTTTTCCTTTCTGGGCCTCTAAGCCCTGGGGAGAGCACAGATTCGGTATTTGACAGGGGCAATGGTGAGGCCCATCCTGAACTTCTGGCTCAGCTGCTCATTGTCTGGGGGCCTGAAAGTAAACTTCTGCATGAGCGAAGTGAAGAAAATAAACAATTCAGTCCTAGCCAACTGTTCTCCAGGGCATGCCCGCTTTCCTGCAAGACAAAAGCAAAAAGCAAGTGAGGTTCAGTAAAGTCTTCCACCACTTCTTTGAGTCCTGCCAGAGGAAGGGCCAACCCGGGTTCGATTCCCAGCATCCCATATGGTCCCCTGAGCACCGCCAGGGATGATTCCGGAGTGTAGAGTCAGGAGTAACCCCTGTGCGTCGCCGGGTGTGATCCCCAACAAAAAAAGAGAGAGAGAACAAAAGAGAGAGAGAGAGTGCTTATAAATGTCTAAGAATGTTATTGCAGGACCTTATGAATGAAGTGGTCACTTAAATTTATGGAGGAATATTTTGGCCCACTGCCATCTAAGTTTGAGGGATACTTCTGACTCTCTGCTTGGAGATCATTCCTGGCCGTGCTCCAGGGATGATGTGGTGTTATGGGTCAAACAAGCGCTGCCTCAGGCTAGACTAATCACCTTAACTCCTGTACTATCTCTTCTGCTTACATTTTTCCTGAAAGCATTTTTCTATGTATGTACCTAATCATCTAGACTTTATGTATTTAAGTAATCTATATGGCTGTGTCTCTATCATGTATTACCTATCAGTTATCATCTACAATCCAGGTTCAATTTCTAATTCCAGTTCAGCACAGAGGATTTCAATTATTTTCTCCACGTCTCTATTTTTTTGTTCTCCCGTTAACAAGTTACGTTTACTTTGGGATGTATCTTCCTTACACAGTACTCAGCTCCCATCACTGCCACAGCCCATGGACCGGCCCTTCCTCTCCTCACTAGTACTCTGATACTAATTCCAGGTTTCCACTGCACTCCTTCCTAATGACCCTCACTGCATCTGTACCCTGCTCTGATAAATATCACCACTCCTTCTTATGGTTGGAGGAAAGGGGTTACCTTTTTCTCTCTAAATAGTGCATATTTGCTGAAAAAAAAAAAAAGAAGAAACGGTGCAGAAATAAATCCCTTAAAATATAGACGATGGAAGAAGCAGATGATGTTTACAGTTCCATAATCCCAACTCCCTTGCTAACATTTTGACATGTTGCTTGACTTTTCTCTTTGGAATTCCCCTGTACCCCTTTGTCATGAGTAATACTCTCTAGAGTTAAATTTTTGTTTGTTTGGTTTTGGGCCACACCTGGAAGTGCTCAAGAGTTATTACTGACTCTATGGTAAGAATTTACTCTTGGTGGTACTCACGGAACCACTTGTGGTACAGGGATCCAAACAGATTTGGCTGCATGCAGTGCAGTATCCTAAGCTTGGTTCTATCTCTGACCCTCTGTGCACTGCTTTTGTTCTTTGTGTTTCCTGTGTGAATAAATATTCTTGCAAAACCATGAATGTATGTTTGCCTCACTTGTTCCCTGGCTGTATTGAGAGGTGGAGGAAATAAAAGGCATTGCTACATGCCACAGTGCTTAAAATGCAAACGCCCCAATTAGAACATCATTTGATCATCTTGTGGCTGTACTCCCCTCCAGTGGATCCACTTCAGTTTCCAAAAAACCGAGCAACACTGCCCCCCAGTGGAAATTCTGAAATACTACCCAATGAGGGGGGGTAGTAACTACTAGATTAATATCAGAGGTGCTTTCTGGAATTAGATGTGCCATGAGTTCTATGGGTTAAAGGTAGGAGTGGGACAGAGAGGGTTACTTTCTGTTTGTTAACTTAAAGAAGTTATATTTTTCTGAGGAGGAGCTCTTAAAGAAGGTGGATTTTTACCCTGAAAATAGGAGGTAGACCAAAGAAATTTGGGAACCTCTGATTGACTTCGTCTGTGTTCCATTCTTATTGTACTCTTCATCCATCAAAAATGAGAAAATTTGTCAAACTGGCACCAAGTCATCTAATTATCTAACCTTCTTCTAGAATTTTATATACATAGTGACGACAAAACTAGACCTCATGACTCAGGAAACAGGCCTGTAGTATTCAATTATGTGTTGAAAGTAAACTTTTCATTGTCACAGAGCTAACTGTTTACTCCTTGTCAAACCTTTGGAGTAGCCTATCTCCTAACTATAATCTGTGGCTTAGTAGGGGTACTATATGACAACAAGTAGGAGTTTGCTTTAAAAGGATGAATTTGAGGAACTACTTGACTGCAGAACTTCAACCTGGATTACAGAAAACTTTCCGTTGGTGCTTCTTCTAACTGTCCATGAGAAACTAACAAAGTTTAGATTCATGAACTATGTAACTAAGTTGTAGATTGGGAGCAACTACACATATTCATGGTTTTAAGCCACCAGGTCTCAGATGGGTTGTTATGTAGCAATATGTATATGATCAAAGGGAATATTGAGTGTAAGAGCCTTAAGTAGCAGGTGTCAAGTTAATATTAAGTGGGCAGGTGAGTTGCAGTCTAGTTGTATTAAGAAAACTTGATTAGAAGTGCAAAAACGTGAGAACTATGACCTATTCTGACATTAACAGGTCTTTCAACTCTTTCTCATCCTTATTTTCTTTATATAAAGAAAAGAAATGCTAGCCCCTTTTCTGTCATTTTATAAGTAAGTTGCTAATAGGATGAAATGGGACGATTTTCTTGTAATTATATAGTCTGACTCAAAGGGAGCGATGTAATTGTCAGTTATAAAGCTCCAGTTATGTAACTTGGAATACACATGAAACTTTAGACTTCAATACAGAACACGAAGCTGTTACACATAGAACACTGAAGATATCCCAACATCTCCTATTGGCTGCATTGTAGGAAGTTACTTGTATAGTGTGAGATAATACAATCATGATCAGTCACGTAAAGGAAAAGATGAACTTTGTATCATACCACTCCAGATTCTAGTTTCTCCGTTTCTCAGCCTGGGTCATCATTTAAAAAGGACCCTCTCTCAGAAATCAACCCAATTTAATTTAATGATAAGCAAACTATCAGACATTTTCCAATATAGAATCTTTGTACCTACTACTTTAGTACAAATTCTTAAAAGAGAATCACAGACTTTTGTTTTTGATAAATCTGGATACCTCTAAATTTAACTCTGCTACATGAGTTTCAAAATTTCATTACCTTAGTTAATCATTTTTAGTGTTTGATTTCTTTTTAGTGATAGTAATTTGATCCTTGTGAGACATGCTTCATGAAAGCAGGTCCCCCCCCCCCCCCCTTCCCCTACTTTATCCATTGTCAGATCTCAGAGTTGACTTTTTGGCACATAATAGATGCCCAGGAAATATTTGTAGAAGAAAGGAATTAGAGAATTGCTTGAATGTCCAGCATCCCTAATAAAATAGCTATAAATTACTATGAAATTTAGTCAAGGATTTTCTAATTTGAGTTCAGCCATTCTTTTAATTTGGCTAATAGACAGGACAGAGGGTTTTCACGGAATCCTCTTTTGCTCATTTCAATGTGTATGTCATGTATATGGGCTAACTATCTTTTCAAAAGCTATTAAAATGGACAAATACAAAAGTACTGGGAGGAGATTTATAAAGTATATACCTAGATCCCACCTACATAAGCCCTTAAAATCACTCTGGATGTTCATAATGAGAAGCAATGGCACCCTTTCTTGCCTTTCCCCATTCTGTCTCTGGTTCTATGTGAATTGGACATTGAAAACTCTATAAAGATGGCGAGTGTCTAATTCTTTTTTATGTACAAGAGATGGGGTCTGAAGCTCTGACCCCAGTATTTTCTTTCTTTTGGGGGGAGGTAGGATCACACCCAGGTATGCACAAGGGTTACTCCTGGCTCTGCCCGCAGGAAAAACTCCTGGCAGTACTCAGGGGACCATATGGGATGCTGGGAATCGAACCAGGTCGGCTGCGTGCAAGGCAAACACCCTGCCCACTGTCCTATCGCTACAGTTCTATCCCCAGTATTTTAAAGACAGGAGAAGGTGAGATTGAAATCTGCTTCAGAGACACGTGAGGACTAAGGAAGTCAGGAATTTAAAGCAGTGCCCAGTCAGGGAATCCTGACATGCAAGTAAACAGCCAGAGGGAATTAGACTGGGCAAATATCTCTGGAGATTTTCCAACCAAAGCAAAGGGTGACAGGGAGAAGAGGGAAGGGCCATAAAATGAACTCTGTATGCTCCTTCTGTGATGGATTACTGTGGGAAATTATCCACTTAAATCCAAGGTCAGGATTGTCCCCAGAGTAAAACAGGTCTAGGTTAGTTTACAATGAGGGCAGCAAACCCAGGCAAGAATAGAATAAGAAATTACCGTGACTTTAATACTGTACATTTTTGTTTTGTTTTGTTGTGAGTCACACCTGATGATGCACAGGAGTTACTCCTGGCTCTGCACTCAGGAATTACTCCCGACGGTGCTCAGGGGATCATATGGGACGCTGGGAATAGAACCAGGGTTGGTCACTTGCAAGGCAAATGCCCTACCCATTGTGCTATATAGCTCCAGTCCAATACTATACTTTAAAGGTACTTGCTAACTTTGTATCACTGGAGGCTAGAATAGATAAACATCGCAGCCCTTGTTCTTGTACTGTTACGGAAACAATTGCATATACTTCTGGAGCGAGCCAGGGTGGGGGTGAAGAAACTGCTCAATAATTACCTTGTTTGTGGCTAGCTTGCAACTTGAACATGCCATAGTCTGTCTAATTCTTTGCAGCTAATTCAGAGATTGGAGGTACCAATGTAATTGGTTTTATTGCAGTAATTTACCACAGATTACAACTCACCTATGGAGAAAGGAAGGAAGTCTTCCCTTTTCTTAAACTGTCCGTTCTCCAGAAAATGTTCCGGATTGAATGTGTCAGGGGTGGCCCATTCTGCAGGGTTTTTGTGCAGTGCAGTCAGGTTGGTTAAGACCATGGTCCCCTGGAGAAACACAGAGAGTCAGGCATGTTGGAAAGGGCATTGTTCATGGCAGTCTTATCCACAACAGGCAAAACTTGAAACTTACCTAAATGCCCACAAGAGGACAACTGGATAAAAAAATTGTATTACTCAAGGAAATCCTACTCAGCAGTAAAGAAAGATGAATTTGTGCCACTTTGGGCAAAATAAATGGAATTTAAAGTGATAGTGCTAATATGTGAGGAAGCAAAAGATAATTACCAGATGGTTTAACTCAGGTATATTGAAAAACCAAAGAAGATAAATTGGAAAAACACAAAAATTTATGGTGAAAAATGGACTCTGTAAAAATATATGGTAGTTATCAGAGGGAAGTATGAGGAGAGGGGAAGAGGAGTTTGAATTTGAAATGTGGTGTCAGGAGAAATTTAATGATGTCTGTGGAGAAACTTAGACATATATTGAGATGTAAAGCTTTATTTCCAAGCATATATACTACTGTAAATTAATGATGCATTTAAAAATTGCTTGTAAAATATCAGTAATTGGGGAGGGGTGGATGGAGCAATAGTACAACATGAAGGATGTTTGTCTTGCATGCAGTCAACCCAGATTCGATCCCTGGCATCTCATATGGTCCCCTGGTCTGCCAGGAGTAATTTCTGGGTGCAGAGCCACGAGCAAGCCCTGTGTCCCACTGGTCGCTCAACATTCCTCTCCCCAATCAGTGACTTTTATCAGAAGGAGCCAGTTGAGCCAGGATGTTTCCTTGGCACTAAACAGAATTGGTATAAAAAGCAAATGACTTGAATAAACGTTTGCTCTTTATTAAAGATTTCTGTGAATAATCTACTTTCTCTTTGAAGTCCCTGGCCCTTGCCCCTCTATTCTTTTTGCTTTTTGGGTCACACCTGACAATTCACAGGGATTACCTCCTGGCTTTGCACTCAGGAATTACTCCTGGCAGTGCTCAGGGAACCATATGGGATGCTGGGAATCGAACCCGGGTCGACCACATGCAAGGTAAAAACTCTACCTGCTGTACTATTGCTCCAGCCCCGACCCCTGCCCCTTTGTCCAGAATCGAGTGGCACACATATTGTTTTTTGCCTGAATATCTTTGGGCCATTTATGTCATTATGGGCTCATTTACATCTTTTTCCTCTTTTATTTTTTAACAATATTTCTTTTCTGTTTAAAAGTTAAAGTGCCTCCAGCTCAGATAGAGAAGGGAGCACCAAATAAAGGGTGTTGGGAGGATCCTCCCAGGATGGGAGAAGCATGCTGAAAGTAGACTATAGACCAAACATGATTGCCACTCAATACCTCTTTTGCAAACCACAACACCCAAAAGGAGAGAGAGAACAAAGGGGAATGCCCTGCCACAGAGGAAGGGTAGGATGGAGGTATGGGGGGTGGGAGGGATACTGGGATCTGTGGTGGTGGGAAATGGGCACTGGGGGAGGGATAGGTATTTGATCATTGTATAATTGAAACCCAAGCACAAAATTTGTAAGTCTACAACTGTACCTCATGGTGTCTCACTAATAAAAATTTTAAAAAAATATATGCTCTGCAAAATCTAGAATATTATTATTTTTAAATTTCTGGCTTTTATAGAAAATTTTTAAAAGCTGTTTAATGAAGCAATTTTATTTAAAAAATAAATATAAACCTGAATAATTAAAAAAAAAGTTAAAGTGCCTCCAACAGTGAAAACAATGGTATTTTCTGGCCCTGCAGGGATAGTTGGGCTGGAGCGATAACAGAGCAGGTAGGGCTTTTGCCTTGCACGCGGCTGACTAGGGTTCGGTCCTCCATCCCTCTTGGAGATCCTGGCAAGCTACTGAGAGTATCCCACATGGCACAGCCTGGAAAGTTCCCGATATGCCAAAAAATAGTAACAACAAGTCTCACAATGGAGATGTTACTGGTGTCCGCTCGAGCAAATCGATGAACAATGGGACGGCAGTGCTACAGTATTACAGTGCAGGGATAGTTACTAAAGGTGCCCAGTGAATAAAATCCCCTGGCTTTGCCTCTTCAGATCATCCCCAGAATCCCCAGATAAGAACATATAATAAGGGAGTCTCAAATAAACTCAGAGAACAGGGGCTCACCAAGGTGGTGCTGTAGCAGTACTGTGATTGTGCAGTGTACAGAGAGGCCACTAGGGCACAACGGAAAGCCATTTGCTGAGATCATGGGAGTAGAGGAGGGAGGAGGGTGTAGAGAAACATTTGCTTTGTGAGGTCAAAGAAGTTAATAGAACAAGCGATAAGGATGTCAGGGAGATGGTTTAAAGTCAAATAAAGCAAGTCTTGTTGACAGACTATAACATAGTCAGAAGACTGTCAATGTACAGTGAAGTGATTGACAAAAAGTTTATTTCACTGAGCTTTGACTTCCCAATTCTAAAATGAGAATAATAGCTATTGTTTTTTAATTTTTTAAATTTTATTGAATCACCATGGGATAGAGCATTACAAAGCTGTTCATGCTAGGGCTTCAGGGATGGGTTTGACCGATTCCTCCACCAGTGTAATTTCCCAGCACCAATGTCCCCAGTTTCCCAAACCACCCCTCTATTCCAGCCTGCATCTATGGCAGGCACCTCTCTTCTCTCTCTCTTTTTCTCTTTCTCTTTCTCATTTTAGGCATTATGGCTTACAACACAGATGCTTAAAGGTATCATGTATATTCCTGGGGGACTTCACCAACAGAATAACAGTTGCTGAGGACAGAATAATAGCTATTCTGAGGACTGGTTAATAAATTTGTAAAGAACGTGTACAGCAATTGCTTTGTAACTGTTAGGTTCTTTATTAACCTCTCTAACAATTAGTATTGCACACACTTGGATTGCTTTCCCTGCTGGAGTAGTACCATCAAGGACCTGTATGGAAAAGCCGGGAAAAAATGCGATGTAAGAAACTCTGAAGTTCATATGACATTGGTACAGATGTTCTCCTATTTCTCTTTATGTTTAAATATTCCTTAATTCCAGGGTTGTGCATCAGGTGTCTGATAAGACCTTTTTCTGTGAAATGCTTTGCCAGGACACAGAAAACAATTTCATGCCAAAGTTGGATGGGGAATTCTGCCTGCTGTATTCCCACAAAGATTCACCCGCACATTTTATATAAGAAATCCTGAGAAGTCCGCGGCAAGAAAACCCATCTTTCCCCTAAACATATTGCACCTAGGAATCTCCTTCCTCTTTCTAATAGATATTAATAGTTATTGACGCAGGTTTCAATGGTCACACATGTAGGAAAACCTCCAACCCAACTAATTGATCTATTATAACATACACCTCCCCATTTTTTCCTTTCTTTTTTTTGGGGGGGGGGAGCAGGTTTTGGGGAAAGTTCAGGTGTCATTCCTGGCAAAGCTCAGGAAATTCCATCGGGTGCTGGAATTTTGATTGCATGACTGCTGGGATTTTGATGCAAGCAAGGCAGATGCCCTACTACTATACTATCTCTCCAGTCCTATATCTTCCTTTTTTACCTGATACCTTAGAATAAGAATATGCATCCCTTTTTCACATTCAGTTTCTTACAGTAAGAGATGAGCTTGAAATTTAATTACCTTGGGCAGGTGGTGCCCACCCAGGGTGGTATCTGCTGTTACTGCCCTGGGCACGTTTAAGGGGACAATGTTTCCCATTCTTTGCACCTCGTGGATTACTGCCTGGGTGTAGGGCATGGATTCTCGAAGTTCCATGCTTGGCTGCTGCGTCTGGCCAATCACTCTGTCGATCTCAGCATGTACTTTTTCTGGAAAGAAATAAAAGTTCTGTTATTCTGTAATTCCATTAATTCCCTTGCCCCTTAATATAGAGAATGTATTTTAACATCATACCATCTTTTAACTGTAGAACTTAATAGTGTTAAGCATCTTCACATTATTGTGCATCTAATCCCCAGAATTTTATTTAATGAGTATAGATAAATCTCACTCCCTGTGATACTGTACTTTTAATTTCTGGCCACCACAATATTTTTCTTTCTATGAATTTGACTGCTATAAAGTCATCTAAATGGATCATAGAGTATTGACATGTTGCAACTGGGTTACTTGATTTGTTTACTTGATGTCTTCAAGTTCCATTCATGTGATAATATGTGTCAGAATTTTCTTCTATTGAAAGCTGAGTTATAGTCTGTTGTGTGTACATTGTTTATGCAGGAACTCACCAGTAGACAGCTTGGCTTGTTCCCAACTCTTGCGTATTGTGAACAATATTGTTATGAAATTTCAAGTAAGTTATCATTTTAAGCTATTTTTATTTTGGAGCCTCCATTGCAGAAAACAAATCCATATCTGAATTTTCTTGATTTTAAAGTTTTTAAAAATGTAATTCACAATCACATGTACACTTTATATTATGGTTCAAGAACCATAAAAACTAAGATATCAACATATAAAATAGATCTATATGGAAGGAAATAACATTTCAAGAACAAAATTACATTTACCTGAGATGATGCTATGTCTGAGATTGTTTCAGGGGTACAATTTCACACCTTTTCAGAGTATATGTTTTCTAACTACCACAAACATAACTACCACAAACATAACTGGGCTGAGGAGATTACTCAAAGGGTTAGAGCATGTTCTTTGCAGGAGATCTGAGTTTAATCCCTGTACTGCATCATTCCAAGAGCACAACCAGGAGGGAGTACAAGTAATATACTGGGACTAGTTTCTGACCACCACCAGTTGTGGTCCCAAAATAAAGACAAATAAATAAAAAGTAGGTACATCCCTCCACCTTAGTTTATAGGATTCCCTCCCCACATAAATACTTTCCTATCCCTTGTATCACTGGTGTGATAGCACAGCGTGTAGGGCATTTGCCTTGCACGTGTCCGACCCAGTTTCTATTCTTCCGCCCCTCTCAGAGAGCCGGCAAGCTACTGAGAGTATCCCACCTGCACGGCAGAGCCTGGCAAGCTCCCAATATGCCAAAAACAGTAACAACAAGTCTCACAATGGAAATGTTACTGGTGCCCACTCGAGGAAATCCATGAACAACGGGAGGACAGTGCTACAGTTCTATCCCTTGTATACCTGAGGCTAAGCTCATGTATAAACTTATCCTTTGTATTGGCAAGTACTATGGTGTAGTCTACTTTTATAGATAAAACTTGGTACTAAATATATTTTATATATCATTAATAAAAACTGTTACCCATAACATAGGAAACCCAAATAAATAAACCATGACTAAACTAAAGTTGGAAAAATATCTCCTAACAGATCCTATGATCCCAACATTCAGTTTGCTCTTGGACCTGGAGAAGAAGAAAAGAATGTGACAATCAGGGCCTTGCATGGATTGCAGTGGGAATTGGTATAAATTGTGTAAGCAGCACAGTAACGGTAGTGCACTGGATCACCAGATGAAAAAGAAGACACTAGTCTTTCTTAGAGGAGAAAGGAAGCATTTAAGAGGAATTGTACTTGAGTAAATTCTTCAGGAAGAACAAGTAGAGAAATTAAGGTAATTTATTCTCAGTTGAGGAAATAGCAGGTGTGATGGCATGGGTGAGAGAAAATTACCTGTAGCTCATGGAAGCCACCATGCAGGGTGGTGGAGCACAGATTGGAGGAACATGAAGAGGCATATGAGTGGGAATGAGTGGTAGACTATGGAGGCGGATCATTATTGACAATTCCATAGGAAGCCATTACATTAAAAGGGGGAAGCCTGGGACCCAATTTTCTATGAGAGCTGAACTCTTCTCTGAAATCTCACGGGCCAATTCTGATTTTGCTAATTGGGACTTGGACTATTCCTGAGGACAGAGACTACTAGGTGTATTTTGTATTCAGTGGGGACTCAACAGAATCCTGACAACTTGAGAAATGTGCTTGTTCTTTTTATTTTATTTTTGCTTTTCGGGTCACACCCGGTGATGCACAGAAGTTACTCCTGCTCTGCACTCAGGAATTACTCTGGGGGTGCTCAGGGGACCATATGGGATGTTGGGAATTGAACACGGTAAGGCAAATGCCCTACCTGCTGTGCTATTGCTCCAACCTCAGAGTGTGCTTGTTCTTAAGTCTGCATGAATGGCCTCCTGATAGAGACTTATCTTTCCATTATCCTAGCCTTTCATCTGGCCCTAATGGTCTGTCCCAGGAGGGACATTTCAGGAGGGACAATGTTCAGTCTGTCCCAGGAGGGACATTTCTGTCCTGGCCCAGGCACCCTTTCATTCCTGCTCACCTTGGATGTCTGGGTAGAGGGCCATGTAGAGCAGAGCCCAGCGCAATGTTGTCGAAGTTGTCTCAGTTCCAGCGAAGAAGATGTCCAGGGTGGTGTAGATGAGGTTTTCGTCATTGAAGCTGGAAGCAGTGTCACCTTTATGCTAGAAAGCATAATACTTCATGGTTTATTTACAGGGATCTAGGTTGTCACGACACCTGGGGTCTCATCCTTGGAATAATCATGGAAGGAAACAACCCCAGGAGGAGACACTTTCCCTTGATTTCCCCAGAAAGCAAGATTTAGTTTAGGGATATCATCCTAACCCTGGAGCAGGACCTTGTTAGTTTGGGTGGATGAAAGTCAGGCAAGTTTTTTTGTACACATTTACGTGGCCAAATTTGTTAGTACAGGAGAAAGAAAAGTCATCAGTGCAGGAGATAGACTTGGGTTCCAATATTAGCCATATAAACTCTCTGTGCATTAGTTTCTGGTTTTATAAAATATAAGTAAATAGACATTCTATCTTAAAGATGACATTTTGAATTACATGAGGTACAAGGGTCTAGTAAATACATTTCTATTATAGCCTATAATTTTCATATCCCCATAGTAATAATTTTATCTTTAAGTGAGATTCCTTTACGCTCTCTGCCAGCTTCATAAAACTCCATCATTTTTAATTTTTTAATTAATTAATTTTTTATTGAATCACCGTGAGCTACAGTTACAAAATTTTCATGTTTGAGTGTCAGCCATACAATGATCGAACACCCATACCTCCACCAGTGTACATTTTCCACCACCAATGTCCCCAGTATCCCTCCACATCTCCACACACACACCCATCCCATCCCTCTCCCTGCCTCTCTGGCAGACAGTTTCCCTCTTACTCTCTCTCTCTACTTATGGGTATTAAAACTAGATCATTTTTTACACTTTCCTCTGGAAGCTCCAATTTGTAAACATCCCTCTTAATGTGTCATTCCATACGATCTCACCAGATAGTGAAATCTCCTTCTTCGATGATAAACTAATGCTTCAATTAATGTGATGTCATGAAGGTAAAGTATGTAGATGGGAATAAATTTTCCATTTCGTCAGCTTCCAGAGGACAGATGATTTCATTGTTCCAAGATTACATTAGAGGGAGAGAGTAGTAAAAGAGTCAAAGATTTCATCCCATTGATTAAGAAAGCACAGGCAAAAGTAACCAAATGAGATAGTATCAAACTAAAAGTTTCTTTATTGCAAGGATGATGATTGTTACACTGGCTTTCCAAGTCAGTGTGAAGAAGTCACAAGCCAAGGAATATAGGCAGCTCCCTAGAAGATTTGTAAACTCAGAAAATAAACTGTCCCCTATAAGTCCTGAGAAGTCCCAGTCTTACTAACACTCCACATTGACCTGGTGAAACTGGTTTCAGAATCTGGTCCCCAGAATCGTAAGAAAATAAATTAAGGTTGTTTTAGACAACCAAGTTTGTGGTAATTTGTGGCCACATAAATAGAAAACTAGTTTATACCAATTTTGTCTTTAAGAATAAATACAGGAATGACTTTGATTTCCTCACCTTTTCCATTTCCTTGAGATAAGCATCAATAAAATCTCTTGTCTCAGCAGGATTCCAGTCTTTCCTGTGGTTTTCTACCACTTGAGCAACAAACATTATTAGTTTTTCCCAGTATTTGAAGAGTGTCCGATGGGGTCCAGGCAAGAGATCAATTATTATTGGAAATGCATCACAGAACTAATTGCAAGAAAACAAAACAATCAGGGAGAAAATATAGTATCAGAGTTCCAATCTTAAGTCAATAGACACATGTTCTTTCCATTTCTTTGACCTGGGAGTCTGTCTTTATTATAGTCCACACAGCTTTGACTAATATAAGTTTGTTGCATAACTTAAAGTAAGTAAATTCAAAATAGTCCATCCTTTTTGTTCTCAGAATTGTTTTGATTATTGGAGGCGCTTAATGTTTCCATAAAAAATTTAATAGCACTTGTTCTAAGTCCTAGAAGAATATCATTGGATTTTTTTATGGGGATTGTACTGAATATATATAACGCTTTAAGGAAAAAAGGGTCATTTTTCAATATTTTTTTATTTCAACCCACAAACATAAATATCTTCTAAGTTCTTGACATTCTCTTCTATTTTTTTTATGTAGGAATACTTCTATTTATTCAGCCATTGACTAGCTGATTGAATTGGGCATGAACTCCACTTTACTTTTTTTTTTCATAATTTTATTTATTTATTTATTTATTTTCTTCTTATATTTATTTATTGAATCACTGTGGAGAAAGTTACTAAGCTTTCAGGTTTAAGTCTCGGTCATACAATGATCAAAGACCTTTCCCTTCACCAGTACTCATTTTTCACCACCAAGAACCCCAACATACCCCCCTACCGCCCCTCCCAATGCCTGTGAGGCAGATGATTTCCACTTAACTCTTCTCTACATTGATTACATTCATTATTTTGACAAAAGATGCACAATTATTGTTTAGAATTTCCCCTCAAACAATAAAAATTGCTGAAAAGGCACTGTGAAATACTTTGTTTTCTATAGCTGGTTATGAGAATCATATAATGTCACACGGCTGCAATTTTGGATTTCTGCAAAGAGCCAGATAATTACGAGATTGGTTTCTGTGCATCTGATGTTATGGCTGTGCTGGAGAGCCACTCATGGGGGGCAACTCGTGACCTTGGTAGAGCGTAAAGGACGAGCTGGTACCGCCCTCCTTCCCAGGAGACTGCAATTGCCCTGTCACGGCCGGCTCATACCTGGCTTTCCAATAAGCTCTGAGGTGGCAGCCACCTTGTATGCAGTCCCGATGCATTTCTGCCAAAAGCCGCTGGGTTTTGAGATTTGTTTCTGAGTCTCTGGGATCATGGCCTTTAATCAGCTTGATCAGGAGCCAGAGAGGCCGTGTGTAGGCGGCGACTTGGGGTCTCGTTGGGATGGGGAGGAAAGAGCCGGTTCCACCCCCATCTGGTGAGGCCCCGTGTGTCTCGTCACTGCAGGCCCAAACCTGACTGTCCAGTGGCCTCTGGAGGATGGCGCCAGGGGAAACAAGCCAAGGCACGAAACCTATTCCCACCTGGAGTGGCCTAGTGCCAGTAACCTACTGCAGGAACAGGACGCATTTCTGCCAAAAGCCTTTGGGTTCTGAGATTCGTTTCTGAGTCTCTGGGATCATGGCCATTAAGTGGTTCGACCAGTAACCAGAGAGGCCATGCCTCCAATTATATAGCTGAGCCGGAGGTGGTTTGTGGGTGTGTTTCCCACATACCTAACTTTTGGCCATTTACTTTCTTTGTAAACTTTGCCCCAAGTGTTTGGGGTCTGGCCAAAGGCACAGCAGCAATTTTGGGCTATCTGAAAGTCTGATGGTGCCATCAGTCTGCTGATGCACTTGCCTCACAGGTACAGATTGACCTGCTGGCGGCACCATACCCTCTTCTTCTATTTCTTTTAATATTGCTATAGTTTTAAATGTTGAAGTCTTTCAAAATCTTTTTAAAAGTGTTTTCCTGTGCATTTTATGTTTTTGTATGCTATTTTAAGAGAATCGCCTTTTTAAATTTTATTATTTTCTAGTTAATAATTTGCATGTACAAGTGCAGCAGAATTTTGTGTATTAATCTTGTAGTTGACTACTTTGTTATATGATTTGTTTTACTATGAGGTTTTATTTTGGTAAGTTATTTGAGGTTTTCCATGTATATTATCTTGCCATCTGATAATAGGAAAGGGTAACTTTTCCTTAACAGGTCTCTTTTATTTCTTATTAATGCCTAGTTGCTGCAGTAAGGAAATCCCAAACCACATTTTAAATAAAGGATAAAGTAGATATATTTTTATTGTTCTTACAAATTTTAATTATATTGTTTCTTGGCATATGTCTGTTGGGTGTGTTTTGTTGATACTCTTTGATTCTACTAGATCAGTGCACAAATTTCCCTCCTCTGACTGGGAAAAATTTTGACTGTTATTACTTCCCACAACTGTTCTTTCCCATTTTCCCTCTCCTCCTGAAATTCCTGTGGTGCAGAGGTTTTCCTTCTTGATATTGATTTACACACACACACACACACACACACACACACACACGTGTATTCTAAATTCTAATTAGAATTAAAATTCTTTTATATTGCCTCTTCTTTACTTATTATCTTGTGTGTCTAGTCTTTGAGGTCATTGGTTGGATTTTCAGCCTTAGTTCTGATTTTGAGTCCTGCCACTATGTTCTTTAGCATTTTCATTTGTTTGCACAATCCCATTATTACCCTAGTCCCAGCCTATCTCTACAGAGCTACCAAAAGGACCCTATAAAAGTGTAATCAGTTCTTTTTACAACTTCATGGATTTCCATGATTCTCAAAGGTCTACATCAGTGTCCATTCCTATTAATTCTTTATGAGATAGCAGTCTGCTTCCCTATTGCCTCTTCTGCTAGCACTACTTTCCATCTTATTCTCGTACTCTCTTCAGTCTATCTCCCTTAGTCTTTGAGATTACACATGGCTATTTCTTCTTTTGACCTTTGAATCAGATACTTTTTCTTCCTCTACAATCTATTAAACTTCAATGCCTCACTTCATAATGCTCATGCCATCCCCCTTGAAGTGGCACTATCTGATGAATCTCACCCTCTTTGCATTATTTTATCCTGTTGTGTTATCCTTAGCTGAAATTATATGTATTATGTTATATGTATTATACTCAAATGAGAGAACGAATCCGGAGTTCTGACATCCGTCGACGATCAAAGATCAGGGATGCTGTCTCATTTGCCAAGGTGTCGAAAATCAGATGGGCTGGTCACATAATGAGATTTAAAGACGACCGTTGGACTAGAGCTGTTACCGACTGGATTCCACGGGATGTCAAAAGACCGCGTGGCCGCCCACCTACCAGATGGTCAGACTTCTTCGTCAAGATCATGAACGATCAGTTTGAGGCCCTTCATGTTCCCGGAGCGAACAGATGCCATTAGGCTACACTAGCACGCGACAGGGACAAATGGAGACGTTACTGGCGCCCGCTCGAGCAAATCGACGACTAACGGGAAGTTAAGTGATTAAGTGATTAAGTGATTATACACGTAATATAATATATTATATTATATTATATGTATTATATATGTACATATTATTTAACCCGTCCCACTATGCAATAATTTCTATTTGGGACACTTTTATCACTAACTAATTTTCTTAATATCATTTAAACAGTTATATCTGGAAGAAAAATAGTAGAAATCACCTAATCTTAAAATGAGACAGACAAGGGTTTTAAGATCATCTGTGCCATATTATAAGTAAAATTACCAGCTAATAAAAGAATGATAACAGAAATGATGGTAATAATGATAATGCAATCAGTTGTTCCTTTTCTTTTTAGTTTACCTAGTTGACAAAGGGACTCCAAGGTTATTCCACTGACTGACATGCAAATTATTTCATTTTTATCTATATTTGCCTACAAGTTTCTATGTGTGTTTGCATTTACAATGGGCTTTGATTTCACCTTTACAGGACTGTTTATCAGAGATAAAGAACCTCAAATTGTCTAATCTATTTTGGAAATTCAGAAAAATGTTTACTGTTACTGCTTTACTTCTCCTTCTTACCCTCCTAGAAATCTCTTTTTCTGAAAAGGTTAGAAAACCCATTGAACTCTCATGTCTTCCTTGGTTGTTTTTGTCTTGCTAGAAGGGAAGAAAATGAAATTACTGAATTTGTGAATTTGGGACAACCATGACTAGACATTAAAAAAAAATTAAATTCACACCCTACCGAGGTCATGAGTTGCCCCACACGAGTAGCTCTCTGGCACAGCCATGGCTCCAGAGGCACAAGGACTTAATACAGAACCTGGCAGCCTGGCAGCTTGCAGCAGAAAAGTGAATGGACTATGCAATAAGGGTGTCGCTCCCTTCCACCCCCCCACCCCCCCAGCAAGGTGGCAGCCACCTCAGAGCTTATTGGAAAACCAGGTATGAGCCGGTGGTGATGGGGCAACTGCAGTCTCATGGGAAGGGGGGCAGTACTGGCTCGTCCTTCACACCCTACCAAGGTCACGAGTTGCCCCCCATGAGTGACTCTCCAGCACAGCCATAACACCAAACGCACAGAAACCAATCTCGTAATTATCTGGATCTTGGCAGAAATCCCTCCAGACTTAATAAGTAAAATATCAGAATTCCAAAATCGCCCAGCTGTTTTTCTATAGCTGGTTATGACATCATATGGTCCTCATAACCAGCTATAGAAAACAAATTATTTCACTATGCCTTTTCAGCAGTTCTGATTGTTGGGTGGTAACTCTAAACAATAATGGTGCATCTTTTGTTGAAGTGAAGAATTTAATCAAAGTAGATAGAGAGAAGTAGAAATCATCTGCCTCACAGGCATTGGGAGGGGTGGGAGGGGGGTATATTGAAGTTCTTGGTGGTGAAAAATAAGTACTGGTGAAGGGAAAGGTGTTTGATCATTGTATGACCGAGACTTAAACCTGAAAGCTTTGTAACTCTTCCCACAGTGATTCAATAAAAAAATATAAAAAACAAATTAAAAATATTTGATAGTAGTAATAATCACTGTCACTGTCACTGTCACTGTCCTCCAATTGTTCATCGATTTTCTTGAACGGGCCCAGTAACATCTCCATTGTGAGACTTTGTTGTTACTGTGTTTGGCATATAGAATATGCCATGGGGAGCTTGCCAGGCTTTGCCGTGTGGGCGAGATACTATCAGTAGCTTGCCGGGCTATATCCCAGATTAATTGTGCCTTTCTAAGGTGCCAGTGATCAGGTTTACTTCTTTAACTGCTGTTATGGATCAATATATCTCTAGGCAAAAATGCTTGACAGAAATAAATCAAATTAATTCAGTGCTGGGTGCAAGAGGGGTGACCTCAAAATACTAGACCAATTTTCCCCTAGAAAATTCCCTTAAAAACTTTTTTAAATCTGGAAAAGTATCTGGGATAATAAGAAGTTGAACAGAGTTAAAGATAGACTCCTAGAACTAAAAGGACTAAAATTGAGATTAGAGTCCTTCAGGAAACAAGTACTGCTTCAGCCTCAGAGATCTATCACCTATGAAATTAGGAGACTGGTCCTATAACTATTGTAACTGCTTTGGAATCTCTAAGCATCCTTTATGTCTGTATGTCTAGGTTTATTTGAAAGAGAAATGAGTGAATGTGTTCTCATGAATGATTATACAAAAATTTTAATATGAAATTTATGCTTAACATCCACAAACTAGAAACAACACCCATGTCTACTCGTAAAGACAAGACAAAAAATTGGTACAGATTACTGTAATGGAGCAGGACTCATAAAATTCGTGTGCCTGTGTGTGTGTGGTATATTTTAAAGAGCAAATAGTAAATAAATATTCCCAAACAATCTTCCACACAAAAAACAAGTCATAGAAGAGAATCTGTAAGGAAGTATGGAGCTGTATAAATTTGGGAAGGAAGAGATATGAGACAATGGACTCAAAGACAAGGAAATATTATAATTTTTAAATCAAACTACATAAATACATAGCTACATGTCATGTAAAGGTTTGTGCTTTATATAAGTAACAAAAATGTGCTTTATATATAATAGATTCCTGATATCATTACCAGAATACTAAAGTCAGAAGATTTCAAATGGGTTTGTGTTGAAGTCTATTTTAAAAGGTTTGCCCTTAAGCGGCTGCGAGTATAGCTCAAACGGCTACTGTGCTGCATGCTTTACATGCAGGAAGCCTGTGCTCAGAACTTGCTCTCATACATAATCTCACTGTCCACACACAGAGAGTAGCTCCGAAGCACTCTCAGATGTAGCACAAATACCAAAAAAGAACAACTCAACAACAACAAAACAGGATTTCTCTTTAAAAATTTGATGAAAGAGCTGGGGCTGTAGAGTTAGTAAAGGGGTCACTGTCACTGTCCTCCCGTTGTTCATCGATTTGCTCAAGCGGGCCCAGTAACATCTCCATTGTGACAATTGTTACTGTTTTTGGCATATCGAATATTGAATACGTCACGAGTAGCTTGTCAGGCTTTGCCATGCGGGCGAGATACTCTCGGTAGCTTGCCAGGATCTTGGAGAGGGGCAGAGAAATCGAACTCTGGTTGGCCTGGAGCAAGGCAAACCCCCTACCCGCTGTGCTATTGCTCCAGCCCAGTAAAGGGGTAAAGCATTTTTGCCTTGCAAGTTTCCAACCATAGTTCAATCCCCAGTACTGTATTTAGTACTCTTAGCACTGCACGTTGATCTCTATCCACAGACCAAAGAGTAAATCCTGAAAACTGCTGGTTGTGGCTCAACATATCTCCCCACCTGGCTCAAACAGGAAAACCCCATTTGCATCAGACATCAATCAGCCCCAATATCCTTCACCAAGGTATGGAGAGAGAGATGACTTTACCTGGCACCAGGCAGAAGTTTCCAGACATATGGCATCATCCAGCAGCTTCAACAGCTCCTGAAATTTTTCATCCTGGTACTCAAAGCGCTCGCCAAAGATGACTGAACAAATAATATTGGAAACTGCATTGTTGATCTTGAAGTGAGGGTCAAAAGGTTGTCCTAAAGGTGAAAGAAATGGTGATTTCTTTATTTTCTGCACTGTAGCACTGTCTTCCCATTGTTTATCGATTTGCTTGAGTGAGCACCAGTAATGTCTCCATTGTGAGACTTGTTGTTACTGTTTTTGGCATATCGAATACACCACGGGGAGCTTGCCAGGCTTTGCCGTGGGGGCGTGATACTCTCAGTAGCTTGCTGGGCTCTCCGAGAGGGACGGAGGAATTGAACCTGGGGTTGGTTGCATACAAGGTAAATGCCCTAACCCTGTGCTATCGCTCCAGCACCTTTCTTTTCTTTTCTTTTTTTTTTTTCTTTTTGGGTCACACCTGGTGATGCACAGGGGTTACTCCTGCCTCTGCATTCAGGAATTACTCCTGGTGGTAGCTCAGGGGACCATATGGGATGCTGGGAATCCAACTCGGGTCAGCTGCGTGCAAGGAAAACGCCCTACCTGATGTGCTATCACTTCAGCCCTAGCCCCTTTATTTTTTAAGAAGAGTTTATGTGTCTTATACTGAGTAAGGAATCGTTCAGGAGGCTCTGGCTAACACATACTATCCAGGGTCTGTTGTATAACAAACACTCAGTCAATGTCTGAGAACAAAAGTTAGTTTCAACCAATAATGTAGTTAATTCATCTCCTCCTGTGCTTAATTTTAGAGCTCCTTATAAGGATGAGGTTATGGTTAGAGTTACTGTTGTTTGCTGGTAGCTACACAGAACTGGGCACAGGATAATCTTAGGTAGTTTATATGCACCTTTTAGAAACTCAATGAGCACCACCTCCTGAATTTATGAAATACTCACCGTTTTCTTCCTTTATAAACTGGACAAAGTAGCGTGCCTCCTCCTGAATACGTTCCTCTAAGCTCTTCTTTCCTAAACCAAAGTTCCTTAACGTTGTCAGGGTAAACCTTCTTTGCTCCTTCCATGTCTGGCCATTGGACATGATCAATCCTGGGAAAAAGAAAGCCAAAATTATGTATAATTTTGTGGATATTGGGAAGTGAAATAATTTGTGAATGTGTATCAGATTAATGGAAGGTGAAAGACATTGAGACACTTAAAAACAATTCAGAGAAGTAATCCCAAGCTACAGATATAACGACTAATATTTACTGATTACTTACACTTATAACCATTATTTTTATGAACTATCCCACTTAGTTTTCATTTGTTGGTTCAATTATTCCCACCCTCCCACAAACATTTTGCTTGTTTAATTACAAAATTCATGTTTTGTTATTAGTCACAAAGTGTATTTAATTATTTATGCTTTGCTGCAGACCATGAAGTACCCCTAGATTGATAAAATTCATACTCATAAGGAGGCAAGTATCTATAGGTGAGAATCTTTCATAAGCTTGTTCTTAAATGTTGAAGGAGAGACCCAAGAAATCAAGGGAGAGTAAGTAATCTCTGTAGAAGTAATAAAGATAAAGGGAAAAAACCTGTCTTGGTGTGTCAAACAAACCATGATTTATTTCGTATCACTGGTAAGTCCATACTTTGAATTTAATTACTTCCAAAATTTTCCAACTTCTTCAGAAGTCTGACTTTGACTACTACTATCTCAATGAAACTTTATCAATTTTCATCTTCATCTTACTAAATATTTCAACTATTTTTGTGAGAGTCTATGTGATAGTCTTTCTTTAAAAAAAATAAAAAAACACCCTCTTTCCATGGAGTTCTAGGAACCACACTCTTCTGATTTATTTCTTAATTCTCTGACTGTAGGTTAGGTCCCATATCTTTTTCTTCTTCATCTTCTATCAAATTTTGAAACAATGGAGTACTCCAAGATAAGCTTTATAGTCATTTTTCTCACTCTACATGCAGTTCCCAAAACATTAAATTATATATATATGCATATATACATGTACATATCGCTATATATGTAATAGTGATAATCTACTTTTGTCCCTGGGTTCCAGACACATACCAAGCTGTGAGCTTGATTCTCTGACTAATTGAAACCAAGTACCTTGTCCTTCTCCAAACATTCCTTATTTCCATCACATAATAATTTGATAATAATACATACGTTCAACACCTCATTCTACTTCTACTGAGGTTATTAAGTCTTATTGCATTTACTTCCTAAACATCTTAAGCTCATACTCTGCTATCACTATCCTGATTTAACTGTTTGCATTATCATTCCTTGACAGGTTCCTAATTGAAGCTACCCCCTTCTTGAATCTGAAATACTACTCTTCATTGTATATATTGAAGCATAGATGTCACTGTCTTCCCATTGTTCATCAATTTGCTCGAGTGGGCCCAGTAACGTCTCCATTGTGATGCTTGTTACTGTGTGTTGACATATCGAATATGTCACGGGTAGCTTGCCAGGCTTTGCCGTGTGGGTGAAATACTCTTGGTAGCTTGCCAGGCTCTTCGAGAGGGGCGGAGGAATCAAACCTGGGTCAGCTAGGTAGGTTGCATGCAAGGCAAATGCCCTACCTGCTGTGCTAGTCTCAGCCTCATTCTGGGGTTGCCTGTATCTCAAATAGGGATGTGAAATTGCTTTCTTTTACCTAAGAAGATGGCCTCACTGTCTCCCTTCTGGAGGATTCCAGAATCTTCCTTGAATGTGTACTCTCCTTCTCTCCCTCTCCACGCTCACTAAATAAAGTGATTTACCTGCAAAAAGTGAAACATACTAAACCAAAAAGTGTATAAGTGTGATAATTCTGTATGCTTAAATTCATTCAAGAGTTTAACTGCTAGGAATATATAAAAAATCACATCTTTAATTAGTACTTTCATGGACTAGTCTGGGCCATGTTTGGTAGAAATCTCCACTCTGAATTATCTCTAATTGATCGTTGAGCTTTTTACATTAGCCACCTTTCCATTTCTTTAGTTTATTTATTTTATTTAGTTTATTGCCTACTTCTCACTTCAGGGACATGTCATTTTCGGGACATGCCATTTTTCTCTCCTCCCCTCCCCTTTACACATCCCCTCCCCTCCCCCCTCCTCCCCTCTCCTCTCCCCTGCTTTCCTTTCCTCTCCTCTCCCCTCCCCTCCTCCCCCTCCCCTCCTTCCCCTCCTCTTCTCTCCTCACCCCTCCCCTACCCTCCCCCTTTCCCTCATATTGTTGTTTCTTCATTTTATAAAATGTACTAATATTTATATTGGCTAGGCTTTTCTGAATTCTAGGATAATATTAAACACTTAAAATAAATGTAGGTTGACTCATAAATCTCAAACAAGGTCAACCAATCACAGAGAGTCTTCGAGACCTTGTGCAAGGCTGAGTCGTCTAGGTCACCCAAGGTGGGGATGGGTCAGCACAATGCCTGCCCAAAACAGAATCCCAGCAGCTCAAAACCTCCACACTTCACAACTGATACCATGCTTCTAGCCATAATCCACTGCTCAGGATGAGCCTCACCCATAAAAAAAGTTAATCTGCTGTAAAACTCAGGCATGCAGTCTTTGTGACTGAAATCTCCAGGTTTTCACAGAGTTGGGAATAGGCTATCTACCCCACCTCCCTATAGTTCCAGAAACCTTGGCAGTCACCCACATGCCCCAAAGCTGCCAGCCAGTTAAAAATTTAACTCCAGCTGTATCACCTGGTGAAAAAATTTAGACTTCCTGGAATGGTCTACTGCATTCGCAGTCATGTGACCTCTCACACTCTACAACATTGATAAACCAGTAGCAACAAATCTGATTGGATGGGTGTAATGTAGAAGGCAACCAATATTGATTAACAAAATATAAATACAGAAGGTCTAACCTGTAACAACATCTTAGTGATCATACACACAATTAATAATACATACACAAAACATACAAGGACTCCATGATGAGATATAAAATCTTCACTAACTTTCTTCTAAGGAAACATTTGTTGATCACTGTGTTAGTTATTATTTATAACATGCAATATAAAATAATTTATTGAACACCTTTTATGGGGGCGGGCTTAAAGAATGGTTGGAAAACTGAAACAATGTTGGAGGGGAGGTGTAATGGTGGTGGGATTTGTGTTGGAATATTGAATGTTTGTAACAAATCATTATGAACAACTTTGTAAACAATAGTGTTTACATAAAGTGTAAGAGGAGAAAATGTACCTTGAATTTATCTTCATAACACCAATGGTATGAATTATTTGAACTAATTGATACTATCTCTGAAGAGAATATAAGGGATGTAAGAACATATACTTACTTACCTGTTACTCTTGCCATTATATCAATTATCCTTATACTGTGCTTTAAAGGGCAGATAAACAGAGTGTATAAAATATTTCAAATGGTAGAGTAATAGGTTTGAGATTTTCATTTAGGTTTTTATTTAATAATAGTTTCAAGGATTCATGTCAAACTGCTTTAATCTAGACTGGAAGGCTCAAGATTTCTTGGGAAGCACAGTCTTAATGATTAAGTATTAGGAGGTAGACATTGGAAACAATATTGCAGACAGGCAGAAAGTTTGTGCAAGAAACAGAAGGAAATATATATCCATTTTTGGGGGGAAGAGAATTTAGGTAGAAAACCTGAAACCTCAATCTTCCTCTGAGGTAATTAGGCGTCTATGAAAATATCCAGAATGAGTTCAGATAGGAGACACAGTTCTTTTTCCAAATTCTCAACCTTAAGTCTCTGAGACTAGACTAATAATTTCCAGCAAATCACCTGAGAATAGGTTTCTTTGGGGACATGTAGGCATCCGGATTCTTTTAACAGGGGTGAGGCAGTATAGTGTATAGGACACTTGCCTTGCATGCAGTCAACCCAGATTTTATCCCAGAATCCCATATGATTCCCTGAACCCCAGCAGGAGTGATTCATGCATAAGGATTTAGGAGTAGGCCCTGGACCCAGCTGGATGTGACCTCACCACCCAAAAAGAAACAGATTCTTTTAATGGTATGAATTTATAACAAACTTTATTTCTGGGATTTTAGGACAACTGTATCTGCAGTACCACCATTAGCAGACCACTAAAATACCAAATAAACACATTTTTCATTAATTCAAACACTTACCCTTTGTCTTAAAAACATGCTCACGGATAGGGGTCACAGGGCGGTTTATGAACTGCTGGTCCTGGTGAACAAGGGCCTCTTTGATCAAGGGAAGTCCAGTTATAAGGACTGAGTATATGTCACCAAACTCCATGCTCATAACATTCCCATATTTCTTCACAAACTGAAAAACAGTGAAGTAGCAGTCACAGTTGAATACACACATATCAACATGTGTGTAGTTGGGTCGAAAGGAACTGTTTGGAGGGGAGTTGTGTGTGTCAGTGTGCAGGTACACCCTGGCTTGATGACACAGTTTCGTCCCATTTTCTTTTCTTCTTTTTGCATCTGAACCCAGATTTCTTCTTTCACAGGACATGAATATATCTTACAATTTTTTTTAAAAAAGTTAAAGCAGAAGTACACACTAACAAAAAATTCTTTATAAGTTTAACTTATAAGAATTGAGGTAGCATCTGCCCTGGGTCCCTAGAATGACATGTGAAGCTATAACCATGACAAATAAACAGGGTCTCTAAACCCTAGTAGGTGAAGGAAAAGAATTCAGTGTATGTTTTTGCCGAGGAAAGCTGAGCTAAGTTTCATATAAGCCTGATGTAGCAAACAGGGACTTCTCAGTAAATCATCTATGTTTAATCAGAAGAGAAGCTCCTGCAGGTTTCACTTGTGCTAGATAATAAAGAACTTATTATAGCGTGGGGATAAGCAATGGAGAAAAGAATTAGTATGTGTGACTCTTGGCTTCCTGGCTCACTCATTGGTGGCGCGGTGACAAATTTTTGAGTTTTATTCTTTTTGAACCTTGGGTTCCCAGCCCTAAAAGGGCGAAAAATTTTCTCTCTGAAAGGGGGCTGTGAAGAAGAATGAGAGCAGAAAGTGAAAGGCACTTTGTTTTCCAGTGCCTGGCCTGCATCCAGGGAAGTTTGAGGAATGAACAGGCCCTGTGAGCAAAGGGAGATAGATGGTCCTGCGGTCATTGCAGCAAAGAGAATAAGAGCAAACAGCAGACCATGCAGGAAGAAGGTGCTCTTGGTCACAGAAAGTCATTTACTTTCTTTGTTTTCTTCCCCCCCCCCCTTTTTTTATTGAATCATTGTGAGATGCAGTTACAAACTTTCATGATTGAGTTTCAGTACTACAATGATCGAGTACCCATCTGTCCACCAATGCGCATTTTCCATCACCGATGTTCCCAGTTCTCCTCCCACCACTCCAACCCCATCTCACCCCCTGCCTCTCTAGCAGGTACCTTCCTTCTTACTCTCTCTCTACTTTTGAGCTTTATGGTTTGCAATACAGATACGGAGAGGCCATCATGTTTGGTCCTTAGTCTACTTTCAGCACACATCTTCCATCCTGAGTGATCCCTCCAACCATCATTTACTCAGTGGCCCCAAGAAGGTCATTTACTGTAGTATAATGTTGAACACCTTCTACCTTATATCTCATTTAATCACACAACCACCCTGGAGTATCAATGCTTTCCTTGTTTTTCTTGCAAAGTTAAAATGTGGTAGTTAAAGAAAAGGGTAGTTAAAGAAAAGGGTAGTTAAAGAAAAGGGTAGTTAAAGAAAAGGGCTGGAGCGATAGGGTAGTTAAAGAAAAGGGTAGTTAAAGAAAAGTTAAAGAAAAGGGTAGTTAAAGAAAAGGGCTGGAGCGATAGCACAGCGGGTAGGGCGTTCGCCTTACAAGCGGCCAACATGGCCGACCCGAGTTCGATTCCTCCGCCCCTCTCGGAGAGCCCGGCAAGCTACCGAGAGTATTCGATATGCCAGACACAGTAACAACAAAGTCTCCAATGGAGACGTTACTGGGCCCGCTCGAGCAAAGAAAAGTAGCCAAGGTGGCAATGCTTTAAAGGGATGGAAGAGATCTTAATGCAATGTTTGAGGACAAAGTCACACATGTGAAAGGGCTCCAAGTTTGTTTTTTTAAAAATTTTTAATAGTGAGACATCATGAGGTACAGTTGTAGACTTACAAATTTTTGTGCTTGGATTTCAATTATACAATGATCAAATACCCATCCCTCCACCAGTGCCCATTTCCCACCACCACGGATCCCGGTATCCCTCCCACCCCCACCCCCCCCATCCCACCCTGCCTCTGTGGCAGGGCATTCCCCTCTGTTCTCTCTCTCTCTCTTATTGGGTGTTGTGGTTTGCAAAAGAGGCAATGGGTGACAATCATGTTTAGTCTATAGTCTACTTTCAGCATGCTTCTCCCATCCTGGGAGGATCCTCCCAACACCCTTTATTTGGTGTTCCCTTCTCTATCTGAGCTCCCTTTTCCCCTAGCATGTGTGGTTGGGCTCCAAGCCATGGAGTAAAATTCCTGGTACTTGAGCAAACTAAATGAGAATGAGAGTAGAGGAGAGTAGGATAAGAAAAATAGAAAGAAAAGTGTTTGGGCTTTGTCATTCTTATGGCTAAATGTGCAAATAAGTGTACGGTGTTTGACTGAGAGTGACTATGTACTGATCAAAATTTTTCCTGACTCCCAGTAGATGGTGGGTTCTGTCTATCTATAGACAGTGATTATAAATCAATGGGCTTCACCCCCTCTGGTATGGTATCTCTGCTCTCTCTGCTCCAAACCCAACCATTTCTCTCTCCCTTGTCAGTTTTAGCACCAGAACATAATTTCCCCCATCATAGTAAGTATAAGTGTAGTTCCAGCATCTACATACTCTTTTTTTCTCTACACTCTGAGTTTTCAAGGATTTAACGTGGATTACTTATAATTTAGTTTGACCTAAGAGTAACTGTTTTCTTTTTTTCAATCAAAGGTGCTTGGGCAGTCAGTCTTATTTTTTCTCTCAGCTGTGAAGTGAAAGACTTTTCCCCCTAGAGCAGGAATTGCAGACGAGTGATTGTCCAGCAATCTGCCTGCTGGCAGCAAGCTCTTACAAGGTCAGCAAACGTGATTTCATTCTTTCTGGTATCTAGGCTTTGGGGCTGGAGTGATAGCACTGCAGGTAACCAGAGTTCGATTCCTCCGCCTCTCTCGGAGAGTCTGGCAAGCTACCAAGAGTATCTCGCCCACACAACAAAGCCTGGCAAGCTACACATGACGTGTTCGATATGTCAAACACAGTAACAATTGTCACATTGGAGACGTTTACTGGGCCCGCTTGAGCAAATCGATGCACAACGGGAGGACAGTGACAGTGACAGTGACAGCAAGTATAACCAGTTCTTTTTCACCCACCACCCTATGCTTCCACACTACAAATCAAGACTAAAACTCTTTTTTTGTTTTGTTTTGCTTTTTGGGTCACACATGGCAATGCACAGGGGTTACTCCTGGCCAATGCACTCAAAAATTATTCCTGGTGGTGCTCAGGGGACTATATGGGATGCTGGGAATCGAACCTGGGTTGGCCACATGCAAGGCAAACACCCTACCGGCTGTGCTATCACTCCAGCCCCAAGACTAAAACTCTTTGGCCCAAAGTCTCCCACCAAACTGTCTCTAGTATGTCTTGCTTATAGGAAGGTCTGAGAAAAGATTTTATCAAAGCTGACCTGGCTTTAAAACGCATGCTTTTTTTATTTTTAAAAACTAACAGAAATGGGTCCATACAAGCCACGTAAATTTTAAATTTTATTTTTGAATGCATTATTGAACTTTTGATGCTGCATAACAAATCACTGGGGCACAATGTGAGTCATTTTGCCAATTAATTTACATATCTGTGAATCTAAGACTCAGGGCATCTGAGAAGACTTTTTATTGTAGGCTAGACTGGAAAAACACAACCATTAGTTCTTCAAAAGAAACAAGCAAGGGAACAAAGGAAGTTAAATTCAGTTGGATCAATGGTCTAAATCAGACTTAGAATCAGAGATGAAATAGAAACAGGATTGATATAGAATTTATAAGATACATAAAAAAAATAAGAGAATGGAAATGTAATCCAAAGACTACAATTCCAAGTGTTGAATTAAGTATTTAAACCACAAAATGGAGTAAATTTTATGAGAGAAAGAGAGAGACAGAGAGAGGGGAGAGAGAGAGAGAGAAAGAGAGAGAGAGAGAGAGAGAGAGAGAGAGAGAGAGAGAGAGAGGTCCCTGCCATAGATATAGAGGCAGACGGTGGAGATTGAGGGGGGTGGGGGTTGGAAGTGAAACTGGGGACATTGGTGGTGGGAAATGTACTACATGGAAAGTATCATGTTAAGCGAAATGAGTCAGAAAGAAAGGGATAGACATAGAAAGATTGCATTCATCTGGGGAACATAAAGTAACAAAATAGGAGACTAACACCCAAGAGTGGCCGAGATTAGTAGCAGGAATTTTGCTCCATGGCTTGGAGGCCAGCCACACATTCTAGGGGAAAAGGGAGCTCAGCTAGAGAAGGGAGCACCAAATAAAGGGTGTTGGGAGGATCCTCCCAGGATGGGAGAAGCATGCTGAAAGTAGACTATAGACCAAACATGATTGTCACTCAATGCCGCTTTTGCAAACCACAACACTCAAAAGGAGAGAGAGAACAGAGGGGAATGCCCTGCCACAGAGGCAGGGTGGGATGGGGGGGATGGGGGTTGGGAGGGATACTGGGATCTGTGGTGGTGGGAAATGGGCACTGGTGGAGGGATGGGTATTTGATCATTGTATAATTGAAACCCAAGCACAAAATTTGTAAGTCTACAACTGTACCTCATGCTGTCTCACTAATAAAAAAACTGTACACTGGTGAAGATAAAGATGGTTGTTTAAACAAAAAAGTGGAGCAAAATAAATATTCAGAATAAAATAATTAGAACTAGTGAGACAGGAGATTAAACCATGGTTACCATAGATGTAGAGTTAAAATCACTTCCCCTTTATCTAATTTTCTCAACTCAAAAGCCAACAAAACAAAAGAGAGAAAGAGGAGGTGTGTAGCAATAATGATTATTATCCATTAATAGGTTCATTTGCACTCCCATCAGAATAGGAAATAGAGTGTGGGGGAGGAGGAAAAAGAGAATGTACATGAGCGTGTGTACTCATTCTAATAGAAAAATTAACACATATGCGTTTTACAATTTTAATGCCTTCATCAAATACATTTGTTGTATTTTGTTTTGCTTTTTTTTGCTTTTTGGGTCACAGCTGGCAATGCACAGGGGTTACTCCTGGCTCTGCGCTCAGGAAATACTCCTGGAGGTGCTCAGGA